CAGAGACGGTGGTAGTGGGGAGAGATCTTCCATTTGCTGGCTCACTCCCCATATGGCAGCAATGGCCATGGCTGAGCCAGACCGAAGCCAGGAGCTTCTTCCAGGTCTCCCCCATGGATACAGGGATCCAAGTACTTCTGCTGCTTTCCCAGGCCAATAGCAGGGAGCTGGATTAGAAATGGAGCAGCCGGGGCTTGAACCAGCACCTATTTGGGATGCTGGTGCTGCAAGTGGTGACTTTACCCATTACACCACAGTGCTGGGCCCAGTATTCTTCCTTAGAAGCACTTCCTCATCAACTTCCTGCATGCTGATCTCTGTCTCAAAGTCAGCTTCCTGGGAAATACATTCTTCAGCAGGTGCTATATCAAAAGGCAAGAAGGGAAATTATTTCAGGGAAAAGGAGGAAGATTTGGATAAGCCCAATGAGAAGCTCAACAATTATAAAAATGTACATTTTTGCCAAAATAATTTGGGTGTAGTTTGGAAGAGGAAAGAAACAATTTTAAGATCTAACTCAATAAATAAAATGAAAATATTTGAAAAGAAACTTTAACAAAAAATACTAAGATTTCCATTTCTCTAGAATCTAGATATTAAAAAGCATTGAATAGCTATGATAAGAGCTACAATAAGTCATACTGTATGATGTTGATGACAGACTAAAAACAGATTAAGGTAAATAAATAAAAATCTCAGAATAGGCCCAAATCTGTCTGTCTATATTTCTATCCATCCATTTATTTATCTATCTACACACAACACATACATACACACACACACATCCATATGCCTATGGGGAAATATGCACTATTCAGGGAGAAATTTGGGGCAGGCACTGTGCAGTTGGAACCTACATCCTATATTGGAGTGCAGGTTCAAGTCCCCACTGCTTCTCTTCTGATCCAGTTTCTCGCTAATGTTCATCCTGGGAGACAGCTGATGATGGCTCAAGTGCTTGGGCTCCTGCCACCCATATGGGAGATCCAGATTCAGCCTGGCCTAGCCCTGTCTGTTGCAGGTATTTAGGAGTGAATCAGCAAATGGAACCTTTCTCTTTTTCTCTATGGATCTCTCTCTCTCTCTCTCTCTGTCACTCTATGAAGATAAATATTTTTAAAATTAGAGTTTTCTGGCAAATAAATTAATATTTTTCAAGGGCATAGATATTTAAAGAGGAAAACAATTCAACCAATAGCAATTCATTTTATCTAGAGCAAAGTCGAAGAAGGAGGGTCTGTCAGGAAGTAAGTCCAAAGAGGTAGTAAGATCAAGAGCCCAACATATTGTGTAAAGGATTTTGGATTCTGTTAGAGCAGTGGCAAACCACACTGCTGTCCAATATGGTAGCCACTAACCCCCTGTGCCTCTACTGCATTTCAATGTGCATAGTCCAAATTGAGAGATACTCCACATAAAATATTTAATATAAAATTTCATATCGCACCTCATAATTTTCATATGGAAAAGTAAGTAATATATTGCATTAATAATTTTCATATTAATTGTATTGTTATTTTCATCTATATATTTTAATTTGGCTACTTGAAAATTTAATATTATATATAGGGCTCACATTTTTAGATCATATTTGTTTCTATTGGACAGGGTTGATATGAGGGCATCAAACCAGGAAACGGCATGATTAATTTTGCATTTTAAAAGTGGTCTCCTAATTTCAGTGTGTCATTTTCAAATCTGACACAAGCTGAGTTCTGGATCTTCACTTCTGCCTCTCTGTTCTTTTACCATCCCTATGCAATGGCCTTCCTTCCTACCACATTATCTTTTTTATTATTTTTTTATTTTTTATTTTTATTTTTGACAGGCAGAGTTAGACAGTGAGAGAGAGAGACAGAGAGAAAGGTCTTCCTTCCGTTTGTTCACGCCCTAAATGGCCGCTACAGCTGGCGCACTGTGCCAATCCAAAGCCAGGAGTCAGGTGCTTCCTCCTGGTCTCCCATGCAGGGGCAGGACCCAAGCATTTGGGCCATCCTCCACTGCACTCCTGGGCCACAGAAGAGAGCTGGACTGGAAGAGGAGCAACTGGGACAGAATCCAGTGCCCCAACCAGGACTAGAACCTGGGGTGCCGGTGCCGCAGGCGGAGGATTAGCCAAGTGAGCCACGGTGCCGACCCACATTATCCTCTTAGGAAAGACCGTTTCTCAAAATGTAAGAGACTATTTGCATAGGATTTGGGAGATTATTTAATTGTATAATATAAGATTTTATCCCTTTGGGAAAGAAAGACAAGTATGGAGAGGGAAGATTGGAAGACAGAAATGTAGTACATGATGTGATATCACCTCAAGTTATTAAGTATACTACTTGTCTTCCTAGACCACTCCTACATAACTATCTTCTCATCTCAGAGAGTGCCTCTGTGGTCCCAAGAGGCAACATCCTGCTTCTCTATCAACAGTGAACATGGCTCTCAAAAACTTTTCCTATCCATTTCTGCTATCAGCAGTGTCTTCTTTTTTCTTTTTCCAGAACTTTTTTTAGACCGTTTTTTTTTAAAGATTTATTTATTTATTTGAAAGTCGGAGATATACAGAGAGAAGGAGAGGCAGAGAGAGAGAGGTCTCCCATCCGCTGGTTCACTCCCCAATTGGCCGCAATGGCCAGAACTGAGATGATCCGAAGCCAGGAGCTTCTTCTGGGTCTCTCACGCGGGTGCAGGGACCCAAGGACTTGGGCCATCTTCCACTGCTTTCCCAGGCCATAGCAGAGAGTTGGATCAGAAGTGGGGCAGCTGGGATTTGAATCGACGCCCATATGGGATGCTGGTACTGCAGGTGGCGGCTTTACCCACCATGCCACAGTGCCAGCTCCCATCAGCAGTGTCTTTAGCTAAGTCTGTGAGGTATCCCTGGAAAGGTTGCTTCATCAGCTTCAGGCATCCTCAGGATTTACAATCAGAGAGTTCAAGGACAACATACTTGGCTTGTTCTCTACCAGCTCTGGTCACAACCTTTCACTATAAGAATAAGTTTCAGGGGAATTTTGGAGGATTTGACATATGCTGGCGATAGTCAAGGAAGTTCAAAATCAATATGAAGTCTTAAGGACATCTGGCAAAATTTAGTCTCTGCTAGAGAAAATGCAGTGGCTGAGCCATGGAGAACATTTCTTAATTGCTGTTGAATTTGAATCTACACTGCCTTCCAGGGCCCATTGCTATCAAACGGCTATGCTCATTACTAAAGGGCTGGGGGCGTGAAGGAAGAACTCACAGTGAGGGATCTTCAAAGCAAGGCAAGAGACCAGCACTACTATTTTCAAATTGGGGGTGGCAAATTTAAAAGCCTACAGGAGCCTGGCAGGAAATGTAAATGAAAGAAGTAGGCTGACTCTGAGAATGTGAGAGCACATGCCAAGTATTGCGAATGAGGCTATTACCATCCAGTTCCACGAATCTTCCCACTTTTTTTTGAGTTTTTTTTTTAAATTGAGATATAATTGACAAACAAAAATTGTGTATATTTAACATGAATATTATGATGTTTTGATATGTATTTACGTCCTGAAATCATTCCTGCAATCAAGCTAATTCACATATTTATTAGCTCATAAGGTTACCACTGTGTGTATATGAATAAGCAAGAACTTCTCTGTCAGTAAATTTCAAGTACACAAAACATTGTTATTAATTATAATCACCTGTACATTAGGTCTCCGGAACTCCTTTTTTTTTTTTTTTTTTTGTAAGATTTATTTATTTGAAAGGCAGAGTTACAGAGAGGCAGAGGCAGAAAGAGAGAGAGGGAGAGGTCTTCCATCTGCTGGTTCACTCCCCAGATGGCCGCAATTGCCAGAGCTGCGCCGACCTGAAGCCAGGAGCCAGGAACAACTTCTGGGTCTCCCATGCAGGTGCAGGGGCCCAAGGACTTGGGCCATCTTCTATTGCTTTTCCCAGCCATAACAGAGAGCTGGATTGGAAATGGAGCAACTAGGACTAGAATTGGCACTCAAATGGGATGCTGGCACTGCAGGCAGTGGCTTTACTCACTACGCCACAGCACCAGCCTTTTTATTCTTATAAAGTGTGTACCCTTTGATCAATATCTCCCCTTTTCCTCTGGCTCCAAGTTAACCACCTGGTAACTAGCCCTAGTAACCACCATTTACTCTATTACTTTGAGTTTTTTTTCCAGAGAAGGTAGATATAGAGAAATTTGGTTTTATGAAAATTGCTTATTTTTATTTCTTATATCTTTTTATTTAAAAGATTTATTTATTTAGTGCTGGCACTGCTGCAGTGCTGACATTGTGTATTATGCTGGTTCAGTTCGTGTCCAGGCTGCTCCTCTTCCAATCCAGCTCTCTGCTTATGGCATGGAAAAGCAGTGGAAGATGGCCCAAGTACTTTGGCACTTGCACCTATGTGGGAGACACTGAAGAAGCTCCTGGCTCCTGGCTTTGTGTTGGCTCAGTTCTGTCTATTGTAGTCATTTGCAGAGTGAACCAGCAGGTGGAAGACCTTACTCTCTGCCTCTCCCTCTCTCTGTCTGTAACTAACTCTCAAATAAATAAATAAAATCTTAAAAAAGATTTATTCATTTTATTTGAATGTAAGAGTTACCGAGGGAGGGAAAGACACAGAGAGATCTTCCATCCACTGGTTCATCACCAGATGACCACAACAGCCAGATCTGGACGAGGTTGAAGCCAGGAGCCAGGAGCTTCATCTGGGTCTCCCATGTGGGTGGCAAGGACCCAAACTTTTGGGCCATCTTCCACTGGTTTTCCCAAGCCATTAGCAGGGAGCCACATAGGAAGTGGAGCAGCTGGGATATGGTCTGGCGCCCATATGGATTGCTGGTGTCACAGGCAATGGCTTTATCTGCTACACCACAATGTCAGCCCCTATTTCTTAGCTTTTTTGAAAAATTATTTCTTTAAAAGACAGACACACACACACAGAAAGTGGTGTGCGGGCGGGAGGAGAGAGAGAATGTTCCATTTTCTGTTTTATTCTCTAAATGCCCATAACAGCTGGAGCTGGATCTGGACCAGACTGAAACCTGGAGTCCAGAACTCAACCCAGGCTTCTCATGTGAGTACCAAGGAGTCAAATACTTGAGCCATTATCTGCTGCTTTTCCAGAATACAAATTAGCAGGTAGAAGGATTGGATTGGAAGTGGAGCCAGGACTTGAACCAGGTACTTGAATGGGTATCCCCAGTGGCATCTCAACTGCCAAATGCAACCCCTCATTTGTTAAAAGGTTGAAAAGTAACTCACTAAATACACAGACTCATCCATGTACATGCTATTATGCAGGACCAACTGTGGACTCTCCTCTGCTTCATACTTAGGGACAGGCTAGGTTGTGTGGCTTAACTCAAACAGAAATTTCAAACCTGTAGTCTATATATCTATCACTGTTGTGCTGTGTTTTAAAAAAGTAACCATCAAAATGTTAGCATTAGTTTGGCTTTTGATAATAGATTTAAAAAAGCTAAGACAAGGCTGTTAGCAAGGACAAGAGGACTTCAGGTATGAAGGATGGGGAGCAGAGGAACAATCATTGGTAGACAAAGATAGTGACAATAAAATGTCTGGTAATAAAACAAAGAATGGAAAGGGTAGGTCAAGAAATTGTAAGCATGCTTTTCTCCAAGTCAGTTAGTGGATTGGGATTGACATTTATTTTTATGGAAATTGTTTTTTAACTCTATTGAGATCAATACACTGGGGCTTGCTAATTTGTGCATGACACAAAGAAGACAAAGTATTCTAAAACAGAGACTGACTTTCTTTACAGTTCACTGAAGGGCTCTTCCTGTTGAACTCCCGTGTCGTCCCTCTGGGAGTGAATGGCCACAGCCTTGCACACCAGGACAGTGCCTCCTCTCACAGTTCTCCGTGTAGGGGCCAGGGCAGGGGACTGAGGGTGCAGTATCTTGAGGACTGTGAAGCACCACGAAGAGCGTCCAAACCTCCTGCCTTTCTTTTCCTTTGTGCTTTGCTCAAGGGTATGTGGACACGAGGATGATCTTCTGGCCACAAATACTACTTGTTATTCAATTTTTGCATTAGTCAGCCTTTTGTTTCTTAAAATACCAGAGAACAATTTCTCTGGAAGGAAAAGCCTTATTTTAGTTTACAGTTTGAAAGCTACAGTTCAAGATGGGCGACTGTAGTAGTCTGGCATCTGACAGAGGCAGAGGGCTGGCAATTGTGAAACATGTGCAAAATGATCACATTGTGAGACAGGAAGCAGAGAGAGACGCAGGGAACACACTTAGCTTATATAACCAACTCTCTTTGGAGAACCACCTGCTGAGGGCAAGCCTCCCCCCACCCCGTGAACTATCTCTTAACAAGCCAACATTTTGGATGCCATAATTAGACCAAGTTATCCTTTAATGTAAGACTTTTGGATTTAAATGTCTGCATGAGTTTGCAGAGCCAAGTCCTGGTCAACCCATGCATGAGTCTGGGGATCCAAGTCCTGTATAATTAAAAATAGTTACTTGTAATTTGCTATTAATCCCAACCCTTTTCTGTATATTTAAAACAGGCTCTAACCAACTTAACAAATTTTTGATCGTCAGTAATTTACCTACCTGTGAATTCAGAGATGACCAAAATAACCAAAAAAGGATTCACTCACCAGGTACCAGTCTGTAGCAGTTACTGGATTCCTGGAAATCCAAACATAATGGAGTTACTCCCCTGTCTCAGAAGGTTCTCATTCTAGTGGCTGGGTATCTATTTAAGCAAGCTGAGATAGAGACATTGATTTTCATCTCCCATCTCATTCTTCCTCCCAATTTTAACACCCCACCAATCAGAACAACCCGTAGCATCATGGCTGGTGCTAGCTACATGTTTGTGCTTTTCAAGCCCTGACTTGAAATTAATTTAGTATTTGCCTCCCTACCACACCCCTAGGAGGTTCCATGAGGGTACAAAAATCTATATTTACAATAAAAATCCCCTGCAGGGATTCTTATGATCCCTCTGGCTCGAGCAGCTGGGATCCCACTCCTTTCTTAACTTTCCATCCCCAAAGTCTTGACTATTTCTCTTGTTATTGAAGTACCAGCCTCTGGGCCCGAAAATCATAACCGTGGCCCTGACACAAAGTTCTCTTCACAAAGACTTGTTCAAAGCCATGGAATGCTCTGGCTCTTTCATAATTGTAATAGATATTGAAATGAAGCACATTCTATTCTCTCCACAGGGAAAATTTTTTCTTTTTTGCCTTTCAGTTCAAAGACTTCTCCTGATACCATGATAGCATAATAATTTGCTTTTCTTTCCTATTTATGTATGCTTGTGGACACAAGCTCCTCTGTTTTTGTCCTTTTTCAATAAAAATTATTGACACAAACTTTACAATGAATGGCTCTGATATAACTGATTGTTCTCCTGTTGAGTAATAATACTCATAAAAAGAAATGGGAAGCACACGAGGAATCAGAGAGTGGGCAGAAATTGGAATTGTAGAGGGAAACTGTTTAGCATTTATAACTCCATAAACTTAACCTTGTATTTGTGTCAGCTACTTTATAGTTTTCCAATTTACTTTTTAATTGAGTCCTTTTTTTTAGCCATGTTTGGAAGATATAACTCTAAGTCGTCTTTCAAAGCTGAACCACTTTAGTTCAGTTCAATTGATCTCTCCTTGTATTTATTATTCTTGTGCCCAACGTATATCATTTTCCATTTGGCCAACTGCAAATGCAGTTTGCTGTGGATCAAGCCACTTACACAGCAGATCTGCATTCGTTAATATTTTATTTGGAGTGATCTTTTCCGTGTTGGCCATTTGCCCTGATCACTGCCACTTACCATATTGTTTAAGTTGTAAAGACAGAGAGGGTTACTCAAGTTAAGTGATTTACTTGTCAGGTTGTATAGTTTAACCATGTGAAGTGAGGCTGTTACTAGAGGATAAAAATCTGAGATAACTGAACAAACTCTGGTCATAGACTGCTGAAATACTCTTGAGAAATGTACAGTGTGATCTTTGATGCTTCCTTTTCAGTGTGGGCTCTTGCAAAGACACTGGTGCTGAGAGATCAGAGACCTGGAGCCGAGTGGCTCCGTTACCCACTCATTCTGTGACCCTGGACACTTGCTCTTTCTTTCTGCTTCATCTTGAAAAGATCAGAGAATGCTTTCCAGAGAGCAGTTTGAATCTCATTTTCTGGAAAGGTGAGTCACAGAAATGGTGAGATAGTAAATTTAAGCTCTTTTAAGACACTGGTTTTATGATAATTTGTTACACAGCAGCAGAAAACTAGTACAGGGAACAATTTAATAGATTATGACATACGAACACACTGGGGAAGCCATAAACAAAGTCCAAATCATGACCATCTTCATCTCTCTCCTAAATTTCCTTGTGTCCTTTTGTAAATCTGTCCCTCAAATCCTAGTCCTGATTTGCCCGTTCTCGCACAAACATTCATCTACTACCCTTCACTGTAAATTTGTATTTTCTAGGCTTATTAATAAGTGGGACTATATGGTAAGAAAAAATAAAAAAGGAAAGAGAAAAGAAAAATGGTTTAACCCACAAAGAGGGGAATCAAATGAATAGACATTGAGCCAAAGAAAGGGAGTCTTAGAAATCCATGAAAGGACACTTCAAGAAATTTGAGGTGAGGGCAAGCAAATAGGAGGTGGCTTAATTTAGAGTCATAGGCACTTAAATCTATTTAAAGAGAATGGGCATGTGTTATAATGAGTTTAATGTCTGCTCTTGCTAGTGTACTTCAGAGGACTACATGAGAAGGCGGGTATATATGGAAGGAGTTTCCATTCAGTGTTGAGCAGGGTGTGATGAGGTAAAGAGGACAGCAGATACACTTGCTACCCTCTTGGAGTCTGCAGTCAGACTTTTTCAATGTGAAAGCCTGAAGAGATGTACTCTGTTACTATTGTCTTTGGAGCCCTTGAATTAGTCCTGATTCCTCTTGCTACAAACTACTCAAATCTTTGAGGTTTTTGAATCATTCCTGCTGAGATAGGTTTTGTCACTGGGAAGGTACATTTAAGCAGTTTCCTGTTTTCAGGGATTTTACGCAACTATTCATTCAGCTCCTGATTCTGTCTTAGCTACTCATTCACAACAAGAATCTCTTCAACCAGTTTCTAATTTTTAATTACTAAAAATTTAAAGAAATGTATTTAAAATACACATACTTATCTGACAACATATCTGATTTTTGTTTATGTTGGCTGAGTCCTTTTTAAACTCATACTTTCTTCCTATGTGCATATAGCACTTTCCACTTGTATTGAATACAGAAATGATCTGATTGTATTAATTATTTCCACTAACTGCTTGAGGACAAAAATTATGTCTTAATTATTTTTTGCCACTGGAACCAAATGCATTTGCCAAGCACTTATCATGCTACAAGTGCTGTGCAAACCACTAGAGAGATAGAGGTAATTCAGATATTGACCTTCTTTTCAGGAACTCATAATCAAGTGGGGAATATGTATTTATAAGCAAATAAATGCAATCACATTATAGGTTGCATCAGTTAGCATGCTTTAGGCTGCAGGAAACAGAAAAGTCAACACAAACTGACTTTAAAATAAAAAATTTCCCTGCCCTTTCTATCTTTATTTCCTTTCTATTTTCATGTTCTCTTTGCTTCGTGTTCTGGGATAGAGATGCTGGCATCTGCAGGGCAGGGTGAAAGGGAGGGCTGTGGAAGGGGCAGAGGAAAAGGACGAATGGAGTTCTTGGAAGACTGGGCAAATCCATTGATTAACAATTGAAATAGGTGAACATACTGAGGATGATGGGAGCCTGGTTCCTTATTAACTAGAAATGGATTTTTATAAGCACAGGAAAAGGGAGCCAAAAAAGGGCCTTGAAATTTTAGGGTTGAATTTTAAGCCTGGGTATTAAACCTGTGGGCTTTAAAAATTATTTTATTTTCTATGAAAGTCAGAGTGAGAGGGAGAGAGAGAGAAAGAGATCTTCCATCTGCGGATTCACTCTCCAAATGGCCACAACAGGCGGGACTGGGCCAGGCCAAAACCAGGAGCCTGGAACTCCATTTGGGTTTCACACATGGGTTGAGGAACCTAAATACTTGGGACATCTTCCGGTGCCTTCATAGGCACACTAGCATGGAGATGAATTGGAAGCAGAGTAACCTGGATTCAGATTAAGGCTCTGATATGGGATGCTGGTGTTCCAAGTAGGGGCTTAACTTGCTGCTCCACAATGCCAGCATTTTGTGGGCTTTTGATGTACATATTCGGATATATAAGGAAGTGATTGCTGACAAATTATGTATATACATACATAGATACGTTTCCTCACTCTTCACTGGCACCCTGGTAGTGAGGATCACACTGAATCCCCAGATGGCAGTTTCTAAATTCTATCCTGCATGAGAATTTGCTCATAAGGAAACAACAGACAGACACAATTTAAGAATCATCTTATAGAAAGACATATATTCTTTTTTTAAAAAAATGATTTATTTATTTGAAAATCCGAGTTACTGAAAGAGAGGAAGAAACAGAGAAAGAGATCTTTAATCTGCTGGTTCACTCCCAGATGGCTGCAACAGCCAGGGCTGGGCCAGGAGCTTCTTCCAGGTCTCCCACATGAGTGGCAGGGGCCCAAACGTGGGCCATGTTCTGCTGCTTTTCCTGGACTATTAGTTAGGAGCTGGATTGGAAGTGGAGCAGCTGGGACATGAACCCGTGCCCATAGGGATTCTGGGATTACAGGCAGTGGCTTTATGCACTAAGCCACAATGTCAGCCCTAAGACTTATTTTTTTTTAAGAATGGAAATTATATGGGAGACCCTAAAAGTCTTAGAAACTGTTTGAAATTGAAGGAGATTGATGGGATATGACAACTAAAGGCAGATATGCTTCTGGATGGGATCTTGGACCTGAAATGTACAAGAAACATTACTGGGACAGTAGATGTGTACTAATGTTTGATCTTCATAAGTGCTTCTGGGTTGCTATTTAAACATTGAAAACTATCAGATGACTAAGTCAACTGTTTTTAGCACTTGCAGAAGTCAAGTTTAAAAACAGTAATTTTTTTTCCTACCAAAACACACTTGTTGCCTTAATATAGAAACATAGCCAATTAAAGATTTTTAACTAGCAATTCTGATTTTGGAAATATTGGTCCTGTGAACATTAAACCCAAATTTTACTTGTAATGACTATAACATGAGAGTGTATTTACATTAATACCCACATTGCAATTCCTTGCCCTCTACTTAGGCTACATTGCAGTTCATAATGTTAGCAGTACTGTCCGTTACTTCCAGCCTGTTACATTCTTTGTCTTGTAGCTCTTTACCAGTCCCCATGCTATAGCCTTTGGGACTCAGTCTAATGCAGCTTCAGGACCACAAAGGCCTTGGGAAATGAGGTTGGGGAAGCTGTGTTGGTCTCCTTATGTGATTCACCAGTCCACTTCACATCTGGAATACACCTCTCCCTTCATTCTTTTTTTTTTTTAACAAGAGTTTTCTTTTATTAGTTACTCTACAGGCAATATACTACCCTTATCAATAGTACCAACTTCACTTTTCTTTTTGTTTTGTTTCATTTTTTTTTTCTCCCAAAAGCTCCCTTGATTCTTTACGGAGCTACTGAGACCCAGCTGGAACTTTTAAAAAACTTTGCTTCTCCTTTTTGATTTTATTTACATTTATTTAATGCATTTATTTGATAGGCAGAGAGTCAAAGAGCAGAGTACGTGTGTGTGTGTGTGAGAGAGAGAGAGAAAGAGAGAGAGAGGGAAAGGGAGAGGGAGAGGGAGAAGGAGAGAGAGAGAGAGAGAGAGAGAGAGAGAGAGAGAGAGAGAGAGAGAGAGATGGGAGCGGGGAGAGAAGGAGAAAGAAATCTCCCATCTGCTGGATCACTCTGCAAATTCCTGCAATGGGTAGAGCTGGGCCAGTCTGAAGCCAGGATCTGGGGACTCCATTGGATGGAATCCACGTGGATGGAGTCCCTACTTGCTGCCTTTCAGGTTGTGCATTATTAGGAATTAGAATTTGAATCCAGGCATTTTGATATGGGATGGGGTCAAATGCCTTCTCCTATTTTTTAATAAAAGATTCAAATTTTGGGTGTAAAGGAAGCAAATTACATTATAGCTAGTAATTTATCCTTGCTACTGTGTGTAACACTCTGAAAGTTTATGGGCCCCATGCTTAGCTTCAATGGTATATTTATAACGGCATCATACTTAACTCCCTGGCTGCTTCCTCTGACCACTAGGTGTGCTATACAGCTGTACAACCCAGTTTATGCCAATCCACTCTCAGAGCAAAAAGATTTGTTTCCCATTAATTCTTGGTCTGCCTTCTAGATTTTCTATTCTTGTCTACAGGGTAGTCTCTACTAGTATAGTAGAACTTGCTTCATGAGAAACCATAACATAGTCTTAAGCTATGGTCCCAACAGAATGATTGTAAAATAATTAGCCAGAAAAACCTAAAGAATAATCTAGGTTATTAACTTAAAAAATCTGTAGGAATTGTATTGTGCCCCCTCAATGTATATGTTGAAGTCCTGACCCTAAGTATGTTAGAATTTGACTATATTGGATATAGGGTCATTGAAGAGATAACTAAGTTAAAATGACATCATTAAAGCAGGTCAAAGTCTAATACGACCAGTTTCCTTGTAAGAAGAAGAAACCTGGATATTGACACATACAAGGGATAATGATTTTTAAAGACATAGAGAGAGACACCCAACTATAAGCCAAGAAACGATGCCTGGAATTGACTCTCCCCTCAGGGTTCTCTGAAGGAAGCAGCCCTGTCAACACCAAATAGGAAAGATATTTGACTTTCAGCCTCCAGAATTGTAAGGAAATAAGTTTCTGTTCTTAAATCACCCAGTCTTCTGCTCCTTTTTATAGAAGCCCTGGCAAACCAATAATGACATCAGTGTGAATTGTTTTGAGCTAAGCCCCCTTTATTTTTGGCTTCTCCTCTATTGGTAGGCAGAAGACAAACATTTGGATCTCAGTATTTTCACATGTCTTTTTTTTTTTTTTTTGCTAGTTATTACTAACAAGGAAATGGAATTCTCTACAAAAAAAGTCCATAGGCACAAGGCATTCTAAATTTAAAATTTATATGAGTATATAGGGAAAAAAATCACTTGAACCTTCTTGCTCACCACTGCAAAAATTATAAAA